GTCGGTGGGAGAGGGCGGACACACCTGCGGGTGGAGGAGTTTATTGGACACTGTCCTCCCTGACAGGAGGGGGCCTGGCAGCGGGAGGGCACAGGGTGCCGGCCTGGGGAGAGAGAGGAGTGCGAGGGGGAGGGAGGGGAGGCGCCACCGAGAAACTTCTGCATCGCCGTTTCCGGCCGCCCCCCTCGCGAGTGCGGCCTGGCGGTGGCGGCAGGGCCAGAGGCTGAGTCCTCAAGGCCCCTCCAGCCCCCACTCCCAGTCCTGCCCGAGGCTGTCCCCGGCCAGGCTCGATCTGGACCGACTGTGCATTAACCCGCCACCTCGCACCCAGCAGCGGTAGGCGCCTCCCTTGTATTCGCCCAAAACGCTCCGCCCTGGGAGTAGGCACGCTTTCCCTGGTCTACACCTGCGCCATTGATGTGTCCCCACGAACCCCTCATGACTGCTATAGTAGTAGAAGTTAACACCATTGGTTAAAACTAGCCAGAGTCTTCTGTGTGCCCAGAATGCCCGGACTGAGGAAGCGGTGTTCACACGTTCGTTCACTCTTCCCCACGTCCCCGGTCTGGAGACAGAACCCTCCATGGCTCCCAGCCCGAACAAGCAGTTCATAGAGGCTCATGAGTCATGTGCCCATAGAAGTCGCCTTCTGGCAACTTGGAGCGCATGTCCTTATAGGGCCAACACTTCACATCTGTACTTCCCAAACTGGCCCTAACAGGTGCTCCTTGAGAAAGGGACGTCTGTGGTCAAGCAGGTTTATGGCCAGGCCAGGCGCCTCTGGGCCCCTTTCAGGACACAGTAACCAATAAAACCATCCTCTCCCGTCCCAAGTTCTCCAGCAAGTAAACCTTTCTTTGTTTAATCTAGCTTTGTTTAATCTAGTATTGTCTTGAATTCATTCGATTTTAGAGGTCTTTTCTCCTGGAAAATGGGATTAAGCTCTGTAAAATTCACGAATGAAACTCAAGTTGGATGAGATGCCTAGGGCACCCCACCAATGCCTCAGTTGGGGTGTTCCTCCCCACATGGCCATCCCATATAGGGGAGATAGATGTATGGTCAGACCCCACTTGAAGTAGAAGCTGTTTTCTTGGTTAATTGTCCCTGGTACCTTGGGCCCACCTGCAACTTCTCCACCTAAGAAAGCACCCCATCCTTACTCCCCTTAGAGAGTGGCTGTATTTGTCTCTTTTTACTCCACCCTGCCTTATGGTCCTCGTTTTTTCTCTGCCCTTCCTCCCCCAGCTTTGCTGAAATCTGCTCGTGCAGTCTCACACTATCAAATTTGGGTGACAACTGGCGTGCACACACAGCTCATTTGTGCGCATGTGTATGGACCACTGCGTACGACTGTGTGTGAGAGGAATTGGTCAGTGCCTGGCTCAGAGCAAGGAAGCCAACATCTGTATAAATCTAAATACCAAAATAAATCGGGAAGACAGGATTAGCCACAGTTGGGGATTAGCCTCCTTCCACTAGCTCCTCTCATCCCCTGCTGGCCCTCCCCCTCCACCGACCTGTACAGCTGATGCTGAAAGTCAAGTCCTTAGCGGACCGTGGCACTTTCCAGATTTGGGAATTGAGAGTCTGCTTACACTACTCTCCCCCAGGTTACAGCGGGCAGCTGAACTAAACCCCCCGTCTCTGTCAGGACAAAGTAGTCTGACTATAGGTGACATGCTACACCTCCCATTCCCACTGGCCCACCCACACCAGGGATGGACTGCCTGGGCTTGGTGGCAACTAAAGGTGAGCAAAGCAGGGAGGAGACAGAGGAAGATGAAAGGGGCCAGAGGAACTGTCTGCGGTGTGGTGTGAAGGGAGGGTTAGCCCCAAGGGCAGGAGCAGAGACAAGGTTCTGGAGAGGGAAAGAAGCCCAACTTATTTTCCTGGAAGAGTTCAGAGGTCTCTGGAAGCCTGGGAGGGAGTTGGAAAGACTCCAGAATCTTGGGAATTACTCTCCTCCAACTAGTCCTAGTGTCTGACTACCAGTCAGGGCAGGGACTGTCTCCCCTGAAGACTAGAGACCCCTTGGGCACTGTCTCCCATGTTCATGGTTCCCAGGACTGTCCTTCCAGAGCCCCTTCTCCTGTTCTTGCCCCAGTGCTGAGAAAGTTCTTACTGCCCAGACTGTGTGGGAAGCTGTACCTGTAAGATCCCCTCTTGGTCTCCCCTAGCCCTCCCTCCAGCATAGCAACCATTTGTGTTGGATGGACCCCCACAAAGGCTTCTGGAAGAATCTGCTTCTAAATGTGTGCTTGTGCTTATAATGAGTGTAGTCTGAGGAATTCACCAACCCCAGGCCATTTTTAAGGCAAAATTAGCACTGGCTTTCGAAACAGAAGAGCAGGAAGCACTTCCTGAGGGTTTGCTCTGGCCAACCCCTCTCAGAGGCCATCTCAAAGCACCCGAGAAAATCCCTAAGGGAGACTGGTAAAGTCATGCACAAATACTCATTTCACAAACGAGGACACTGTGGCTCAGAAGGTTATATGGAATGCTGGAGTCAGGGCCCATACTAAGGGATCGTGCTGAAGGCCCACTGCCACAGTGAGAGAGAGGACCCAAGTGGCTTAGGAAGGAATGACTGCACTGTCCGGACCTTCATGGTGAGAGCCAGTCACTGTGAAAGGCTAAGAGACGTTTAGTGTAAGTATAATAGTTTGTTCAAAAAGGGAGGAGAGGAGTTACACAGAAGAAAAGCCAGGTCTGTGGTGCAGCAGCCATGCCTGGCTCAAGAGAAGCAGGATCTCACATGGCCACAGCGGGTCAAATCCCCAGCCCGGTCAGCCTGAAACACGCTAGGCATTTATTGGGTGCCCAAGATCCAATGAACTGGAGGAAGGGGATTTGGGGATTTGGGCACAGCGAGACCCTGTAGTGGCTGCTTCTCTCTCTCTCTCTGTGTGTGTGTGTCACTCACAAACACACACATGTGCACACACGTGCACGTACTCTAAAATGAATTAGAAAAAAAGGAGTTACACAGAGAATAATTTCTATAAAAGGCAGGCATAAATCCTCAGTCCTGGAGAACTTCAGTGGGCTAATGGCTTAGAAGGGGGTCGTGCTTGAGCAGACTCTGAGGAAATGCCTTTGAAAGCCCGGGACACCCACAGCAGGGACAGCGCCAATGTGCTGAGACTGGAGATGGCTGGAGACCAAGCCTGTCCTCACCTAGGTGCCCCAGAGCTTCTATGGCTCTCAGCAGCTTTCTTCTCATTTACATAACATTTGTGACTTAAAGAGCAAATGTAACTGATTTCCAGTTGGCTGTTTTTACATACTTAATTGTAATTCATAAGGAGCAATACCAGTCAAACGGTGGAGGGGTGCAGCCCTGCCATTCTCTTTTTCTTTGTTTTTCTGTATTCAAAGAGAAATGAGCTGTGAGGGCAACTCTATGCCTTTGCGGGGCCACAAGTTTCCTGTGGCAGCTGCCAGAAAGGAAGGGACAATGACGCAAAGACCTTGACTACTTTGGGGAACATGCTCTGAATTCTCACCTCCCTCATGGTTCTCGAAAGTCAGTCTCCAAACTAGAAAATTCCATCCTATGTGCTTTCTGATACTTCTCTTCTCTCATACCTTCTCCCCACCCTACCCCAAACTGTGACCAGGGTTCCCTGGCCAACGTAGGCTCCTACTTTCTTCTCCCAGCCCCAGAATCTGGGATCAACCTGGAGATACTGAGCTTCTGGCAGACGGAGCTCTGGCTCTCTCAGAGTCCTCAGTCTTTGGGGACCCATGAGTGGATATGGCCCTAGAAGGAGGGCCTGATGGAGTTGGAAGAGGAGATGGGACAGTGACTAAGGAGGGATGGAGGGGAAAGATGTGGGAATGAAATGGCATTCCAGGAGGAGGTCTGATACTTCCCGGGTACAGTTATTTGTTTTTAGCAAATAAAAACACAGGCTGTCCAGTTAGATCTAGAATTTCTAATCGACAATGGATGTTTTTTTAAGTGTAAGTATAGCCCACAGAATATCTGGAATATATACTATTCCATGGGAAAATATTCCATGGGATACAGTTATACTTAGAAAGTATCCATTGTTAATTTGAAATTCTAATTCAACTGGGCACACTATACCTTATCTGACACCCACACTCTTGAATCCTCCCAAATCTTCCTTGTCCCATCTAACACCTGTCATTAAGTCAATGTCTTGAAAGTGGTGTTTTCATTCAGTTATTCTCAGCCCAAGGACCTCCCACCATCCTGTTCTGCCTACCAACCCAAGTGAAACACCCCCATCTGAATGGTCACCACCCTCTCCAGCACAGACCCTCCCTCACAACTGGTCTCCCTGAGCCCTCCCTTTATCCCTAAGCCTCTTGCCTCCTCATTCAGAGCCCGTGGCCTCATCTCATCCCAGCCCCAGGCTGTTGTCCATTTTGCTGTCCCTGCCTAGAATTCCTTCTGTTCCCTTCCGTCTGTTGACACTACTCCATGATCTGGTGCCTCACAGAGCTCACTTCTCCTTGAGTAGATGTGATTTCCGTCTAAGCTCAGAGCTTAGGCTTCCCGAGGGCAGAGACCAGGCTCCTCTTCCTGGTTCCTCAACAATGCCCAGCTCTGGTGGCCTGGGGCAGAGTGGGTGGGGTGGGGTGGGAGTCATTACATGGCAGGAGGGGAGCAGAGTTGGGTAGACAAAGAAGGCGAGTAGGGCAAGGACAGGGAGGTGGAAAGAGGTGGCATAGGGGCAGGCTGGGCAGAGGCCTCAGCAGTGGATGGCCCACCCCAGGGCCCATGCTTGGCTTTGGCCCAGGGCTCAGCTGGGCCACTCTGGCCATGAGAGGGGAGGGGCTGCTGGGTGAAAGGCTGCTGCTGGGTTCTGCCTGCTGCCACTCCCACCCTGGGCCAAAGCTGCCCTTCCCCTTCTTGGTCATTGGACTTGGGCCTTTGGGCTGCAAGAGGAAACCCATTTCTTGGACTGGGAGGGAGGAGATGAGGAGCCAGGTGAGGGTGGGCAGGGAAAGCCAAGAAGCAAAAAGCACAGTGGAAGAGAGAAGAGGGGTGAGAGATGGAGCTAGAGGTTGGGCCATAGGGAGCCCCTGGGGTGGGGGCGATGTGGAGGAGCAGGTTAAAGCAGTTGGACACCGAGCACCGCCCTGTCCTAGGTGAAGCTAATTGGTTTGTTATCTTTACCCACCAAAGCATTTACTTTGGTTAGTCGCCCGATCCACAAACACTTTCGAGGAGATGACATTACCGAAAGGGAGGAACATCTGCATCAGCTCAGCGTCCCCAAACTCCTGGGGCAGATGGTAGATGAACAGGTTACAGCCCTCGGGCCCTGCGGTGAGGGGAGGGGGTGGGCAGGGAGGAGGGATGGCGGGGTGGGGAGAGAGAGACAGGAGAGGTGAGCGAGTTAGGCAGCGCAGCAGGGGGGGGGGGGCAAGGGTAGGGAGGG